GGCAGATGTCCACGGTGCAGAAGACGAAGGCTGTGTGAGCATGTGAAGAGCCTTAAGAACTGCGGCCCTCAGAACCCTCCAGCAGCTCGAGAGGAAGCCCTCCCGCCAGAGCCTGCAACCGGCCAACTGCCATCTGTGCCACCCGTCGGACGCGCACATAATAGCTAAAGTTCTTCAGAACACACCTCCTGCCTGCCCCGCAGACACACAAGGCCAAGAAAACGATGCTCGGGAGCAAAGACTGTTCGTGAGATTTATGGCTGCGTCTCAGCCCCGTCCTGTAAGGCCACGAAGGACACTGGAGCCAGAGGAAGGGGGAAGCGGGTGCAAGGGTGGCAGCAGCTGGGAAGCCCTGGCTGGCGACACCATGACCCAGAGCGAGGCGTGAGACTCGGGTACGCACCCTCGGAGGACACAGCGCAGCCTGCCTCTACAGGACAGAGGACTGGGGAAGCCACAGCAGGCAACGGAGAGGCAGACACCACCCGAGGCCCGCAGGCCGATTTGTCCCGCGTGTTCCCTCGTGTCACCCTCAGGTGCAGTCGAATGCAGAGACAAACAGCGACGGAACCCAAACAAACGCTCTCTGGGGCTGGAGCCAACCCGCATGCGGGAAGAACACCTGCCAGCGGTGCCGCTCGCACTCAGTCCCTCGGCCGAGCAGCGCCCGAGCTAGCACGGAGCCCCTGGGGCCCAGATGCATCCTGATTCGAGAGGAGGCACCACTGCCCGTGGCCTTCACACTCCCAACCACTGCTGCAGGGCGGGTCTCAGGAGGGCGAGCGGAGGGGCGCAGAGGGCCAGTGGGACCACGGAGCCCAGCGGCGGCTGGCGGTGCTCACCCAGCTCTCCTGCTCGGCCTCACAGCGCAGCCCCCGCCATCCCACCCCAGGTCACCCGGCCCACAGAGGGAATTCCTGAGGCTCGTCTGCAGGGGCACTTCCACCAGGGGCGCGTGGCAGGTGTCACGAGCAGGGCCATTTTCCAAGTACAGAGTCAGGCTCAAAAGCAGCCTCAGGCTGGGTGTGGTGGCGTACGTCGGTCGTCCCAGCACTGGGGGAGGCCAAGGGGGTCGCTTGAGCCCATGAATTGACAGCAGCCTGGGCAACATAAGAAGACCTCATCTCTACAAAAAAATAAAAGACACAGATGAGCCGGGCATGGTGGCGGGCACCTGCAGTCCCAGCTACTCCCAAGGCTGAGGCGGGATGCTGCTCGAACCCAGGAGGCTGAGCCTGCCGGGAGCCGGGAGTGTTCCGCTGCTTTCTGACCTGGGTGACGAAGTCAGGCTCCGACTCGACCAAAAAAAACCAGCATCCCACAGCCTAAATCGATTCAGGGGAACAAACACGGAATGAGAAGACACTCCCATTCTAATCCGCTCCGTGCCCCTCGCCAAGGTTTTGTGCTCCCTGCTGATGAGAATGATGCTTCCTTAAGAGACATCACCCTAAGAACCTGGAGTGGGAGCCCTGTTGGCCTGTGGACTTTTGGGCTGCACGGTCGCTCCCTGATGAGGTCGCATGCTGCCTCCTGGTGGAAAACACGAAGCACTGCCTCGCGCGCCCAGGCCGGGACAACAGTTCTCTTGCCTACCTGGCTGGGGCCTCCCTGGCTGTGCCATCACCCAGCAGCGGGCCTGACAAAGACCCTCAGTCAGTGCCAGCCACAGGTGAGGCCACAGAGACAGCCACCACAGCCACCTCAAGCTGGTCACGGCAGGACAGAGAAGGCGACGCAGCAGGCGGCGTCAGGCGGTGAGCAACGGGGAAGGGGAGGAAGGACCGAAGAAGAGTTCACAAAAGGGAGGGAGGGAGCCAAGAAGAAAAAGGCAGACAAGTCCTGGCCACTGAGAGACACCGCCCTTGGGATTTCTTTTTTTTTTTTTTTTTTTTAGTTGGAGTCTGGTCGCCCAGACTGGAGTGCAGTGGCCGCTCCCGGCCACCACAGCCTCGACCCGCTGGGCTCCGGTGATCCTTCTGCCTCAGCCTTCCTAGTAGCCAAAATTACAGGCATGCGCAACCACGCCCGGCTGATTTTTTTATTTATTGTAGAGATGAGGTCTTGCTGCCCAGGCGGGTCTCGAACCCGCGGGCTCAGGCAATCCACTCACCTCAGCTTCCCAAAGGTGCGGGATGACAGGCTGAGCCACCGAGCCCGGCTTTTTTTTTTTTTGAGTTGGAGTTTCACTCCATCGCCCAGACTGGAGTGCAGTGGCCGATCCCGGCCACCGCAGCCTCGACCCGCTGGGCTCTGGAGATCCTTCCACCTCAGCCTTCCGAGTAGCCAGAATTACAGGCGCGTGCTACCACGCCCTGCTGATTTTTGATTTATTGTAGAGATGAGGTCTCGCTGCCCAGGCGGATCTCGAACCCGTGGGCTCGGGCAATCCACTCACCTCAGCCTCCCAAAGGCGCGGATTACAGGCTGAGCCACTGAGCCCGGACTTCTAAACATGTTCAGCCAAATAGCCAGAAAAACTAATTCAGAAAAAGTTACAAGGGCCTATTGCAAGATATTGAAACAAGAAAACACTCACCAAGTTACAAAAGTAAAAATAGGTGGAAGAAAAAAAGAATATCCTCAAACAATTGTTCCCAGAAGGTGGATTTGTATTTTCTACCTTGGGATCTTCTGTTTGTGGCAGGGTACTTTCTTTTTCTTTTCTTTTTTTTTTTTTGAGTTGGAGTCTCACTCTGTCGCCCAGACTGGAGTGCAGTGGCTGCTCCGGCCATCACAGCCTCGACCTGCTGGGCTCCAGCGATCCTTCCGTCTCAGCCTTCCAAGTAGCTGGAACTACAGGCGCGCGCTACCACGCCCGGCTAATTTTTGATTTATTGTAGACATGAGGTCTCGCCAAGTTGCCCAGGCGGGGTTCGAACCCATGGGCTCAGGCAATCCACTCACCTCAGCCTGCCAAAGGCGCAGGATTACAGGCTGAGCCACCGAGCCCGGCTTAGGGTACCTTATTAAAGGGTTCATTTATATTTTATTTTTGTGTTTCCTTTGCCCTATTCCAAGAAGGCAGGAGGGTTCTCTGGTGCTCCTGGCTTCCAAGGAAGGCTGCATACACTTTCTGCAGACACACCATTTCGGCATCTACACTCACTGAAGAGTTGACCACAGACATTCCAGAGGGAGGAGAGGAGAACCCAGTGCCTCCAGGGGGGAAACACGAGAAACCGAGAGAAAGGCTATTTCCCAGGACTCTAAAGAAAACAGAAGTCAACAAGCCCACACATGAGAAGCCAGCAGGGCCATGGAAAGTGGACTCCAAGCACTGACCACTGGCCAGGGATCCCAGCCTGGGTCAGGCCGGCACACACGAGGCTGCCCAGAAGCGAGATCAGGGGAATGCGACAGTGACTGCTCTGGGCCCAAACTGGAGAGGTCCTCCTGGATACAGTGCCCTAAATACGAACAGAGGGACCTTGCCTGACCCTGACACGAAGGCTCAAAGTCATGCTTAACTCAATTTACAGATATAATGTGATGTGAGTTACATGCCAAACTTGTGAAATAAGATTTATAGTCACTACATGCTTCTCACATTTCTTTTTTTGTTTTTTTGAGTCGGAGTCTCACTCTGTCACCCAGACTGGAGCACAGTGGCACGCTCATGGCCACCGCAGCCTCAATCTGCTGGGCTTAGGCGATCCTTCCCCCTCAGCCTTCCATGTAGCTGGAACTACAGACACACACATGCCTGGCTAATTTTTTTTGTGACTTCTTGTAGAGACAAGGTCTCACCAAGTTTCTCAGGTTTGTCTCGAACCCCCAAACTCGGGCAATCCTCTTACCTCGGCCTCCCAAAGTGCTGGGATTACAGGCTGAGCCACCGCGTCTGGTCACTTCCCACATTTTCTAAAATGAATCCATATGACTTTTATAATCAGAAAAAAGGTCAGCAACCACATTTTGTTAGCAAGAAAAGGCCAGTCACAGTGGCTCACGCCTGTAACCCCAGTACTTTGGGAGGTCAGGGTGAGAGGACTGCCTGAGGCCAGAAGTTTGAGACCAGCCTGGGCAACATGGACATCATCTCTAAAAAAAATTTTTAAAAATTAACTGGGCATGGTGGTGCGCGACTGCAGTCCCAGCTACTTGGGCGGCTGAGGTGGAAGAGTCACCTGAGCCCAGGAGGTAGAGGCTGGGGTGAGCTGTGATTGTGCCACTGTAACTCCAGTCTAGGCGACAGTTGAGACTCCGACTCAAAAAACAGGACTAAAAAAAAAAAGCCAAGGAAAAAACCCGTGTCTTTTCACCATGGGGGCCTTAAAGGCATGAACACTGGCATGGGCATGTGAGTCCATGACCTACAGGCAGCCAGCCCTGAGACAAGAGCCCCACGCCAGAGCCCTGCGCCTCAAACTGGGTTTGCAATTCCCGCTTGCGCCACGGGAGTCTGTGGGCGCAGACACCATTCAAACTCAGCCCAGAAGCACACAAAACATCTTCCTGGCAGCTTCTTTCCAGACTCAGGAGCTAAGGTTGGAACATCAAGGAGATACCAGAGGGTTGGACCAGCATGACCATTAGGTATCAGAGCGTTCCGAAGGTTCCTTCTGGCTGCAGAGTCTCCTTTTGAATTAAGGCCGACCTGGTCTACTTGGAAAGCATGTGAAGTCAGCAGGAAGGGCTGCTTTACACATAGGCGTCTCCAGCCATCACACCTCCTGTTCTCATAGGGAAGTGTCACCCGGCCCTTCCAAGACAAGATTTTTCTCTCTCTGACTCGGTTTCGAGAAGGTGAAAGTCACCATCACAAGTGGAAATGGAATGAGTCATCCGAACAAGCCGCAATCCCCAGGTCTCCTCACGCGGCAGGACGGGTTCACACCTGCTTCTCCCCGAGCCAGCCCAGCTGCCCTTCCAGAGCAGCCCCGGACCCCCAGCTTGCCTCCCAGTAAGGCCGATGGGCCTGCCCCCACCTCTCCCAGTGCCCCGTGTGTGGGTTCAGAGACAGCTGAGCAGCACAGAAAGAGCATAAAGGAACTTGCCTTTCCCATCTGTTGCTGACGCTTCTTGCAAATGTCTGATTGACCTAAAAATAAGCATTTGGAGACAAAAGGTCAGCTGACAAATCTGCATTCCTCTCTATTTCCAGCTCTAGTAACTTGAGGCCTCGAATGCCTCAATTATAAACGGAAAGGAAGGACTGGATAATTCTGGAGCGCTCTCCCTAAAAAAGGGGATCGCAGATAACACGTCACTAGTAAGGCGCTCAAGTCCGAGAGGTAAAGACGCCCTCTGCTGGCCAAACCTGGCAACAGACCTGGCAGGGACCAGAAGAGAGGAGAAAAGGAAAGGATCACTCCGTACTCCCGAAGGTTCCCTGATCTCCCATTCCTGCCTCGCCCCCTTCCCAGCACTACCACGACGGAGCATCAGGGAGCTCATCACGGAGCTCACCTGCCACCAGGAGAATGGACCCCAGAAGAAAGTCACTGGCTGACTTCTAAAGTCTGGGTTGGGCTGGGCACAGCGGATCATGCCTGTAATCCCAGCACGGTGGGAGACGGAGGTGGGAGAATCACTTGAGCCCAAGAGTTCAAGACCTTGTCTTTAAAAGAAAATCAGAAAAATGAGCCAAATGTCTATGGTGGCGCATGACTGCAGTCCCAGCTACTTAGGAGGCTGAGGTGGCAAGACTGCCTGAGCCCTGGAGGTCGAGGCTACGGTGAGCTGTTTTCATGCCACTGCCCTCCAGCCTGGATGACACAGTGAGATCCTGACTCCACAGTAAAATAAATAAATAAATAACGTCTAGGTCTAGGAGCTGTGAACCTACGGCTTTGTGCAAACTCATCCTACTGGGTGGAGAGTTGTAACTGCTGAAAACCACCAGCCCCCAAGAAGCCTGTGTCAGTGACTAATGACTATCATTACAGTCCATGCAGGGCAATGGCAACATTAGTAAAGAAGCCATACAGAGTGAGTTCTAGACACAGGGCAAAGCCATCAGTGGAGACATGGCCCTGAACAATAAGCAAGGCACAGGCAGACAGGGCTGCATCGGGGACAAGGCTGGGGTCTGACACTGTCACTCCTTTTTATTTATTTATTTTCTGAGTTGGGGTCTCGCTGTTGCCTAGGCTTGAGTCCAGCAGCATAACCACAGCTCACCACAGCCTCGACCTCCTGGGCTCAGGCAATCCTCCTGCCCTGGCCTCCTGAGTGGCTAGGACTACAGGTGCACACCACCATGCTGTCTGTAACTCACTATTGTTGGCAAACAAATCACTTCTCCTAAAGCCTCAGTAATGTGCCCACCTGTGAGAGGGGCTGTTTGCTTGAACACTGAATGGAGCAATGCACGAGTGTTAACCAGCACAATGCCGCCCCAAACCAACAACGGCTGAATCAGGATACTTAAAATATTTTTGATGTTGCTTCTTAAATCACCTCTCTAGTATGTATTGATTTTCTGATTTTTCAGTAATTTTCAGGATGTTTTACCTTGAGGAATTTTGCCATGGGGCATCTGCTCATTAGTGCTGCGATTAACAAGTAGCAGAAAATGGCTACTTATAGCCCTATGGCCTGTTGGTTTCCTTCTAGTTGACAGCTCTGATGGCGGCATATGTGACAGCAGGGTCCTAACCTCTGTTCTCTGATCAGACGCTCTTGGCTATGTGAAGATAATGCTGGCCACCCCATGTAACAGTTTCCTCTCGCGTGTTCCTGGGTGAGAGGCCGTGGCGAGGAAGAAGCCCCTTCATCCCCTATTCTACGCTGGGAGCTGGTTGCTGCACTACGTGAGACCACATGTAATAGACAACAGGTCAGGGAGAAGAGTGAACCTAACTGGCTATAATGAGGATTGTGCCCCACTGGCACCACATTCCAAACAATCAGAGTAACCAACAAACCCCAGGATCCTAAAATAGATTCACTGGGTGGTATACTGCACGAAGAAGCATTTCACTTCTTTTTTTAAAAAGTGAGTTTTCTGTGGTTTCAGATGTGCAATAATTTGTACAATAGTTTATTCCCAAGTATGCCTTAAGCAGAACAAATGTTTTTTCTATATAGTTCCTTGCCTTAATAAATATGTAATATAAATGTAAGCAAACTTCTATTTTGTATATGTGTAAACTCCAAAGTAAAAAAAATGAACATTTTGTGGAGTTTGTATTTTGCATACTCAAGGTGAGAATTAAGTTTTAAATAAACCTATAATACTTTATCTGAAAAAAAAATTAGTTTTATCTTATTTTTGCAGAGACAGGGTCTTGCTTTGTTGCCTAGGCTGGTCTTGAACTCCTGGCCTCAAGCAATCCTTCCACCTCAGCCTCTCCAGAATGAGGGGGCTGAGGGGGAATTTCACTTCTATTAGGAGGCAGGTAATTCTTTAAGCTTTATTTCAAAAGAATTAATTGCATTCCAACAGCCATGGAACTAGGTCGTTAGAGGCGAGTGTTTTATTCTGCCTTCCCCTACTTGGCCCTTCTGATCCAAGAACTTCCAGCACTTTGCATGTGATTTAACAAGGATGCTCTTTCTCATCCAGCAATTTGGCACTAACACCTCCTGACACATAATCAAAGCACAATGTATGCATCTCAAGTCTGCCATTTCCAGGAATGGAGCACACTATTCTGGAGGCATCAAAAATGCTTATGTGCTGAGAACTATCACTAGCTTTATGTTAATGGACTTCCTCATTTTCCATCTAACTTGGCAAAAACTGGTTATTTATGGGATTTCTCTAACTCCCCCTCCACCCAAAATTCAGGCTGCTATTTTATATTACTGCTAGGTTTTCATTTCAAAACGCATCTCTGTTGTCCTAGAACTGTGCTAAATGCCAGTCTATGGTGACAGACGAGCTCTATCAGACTCCCCCAGGGTCACCTGATAAAGACACCAAGTCCTGCCCTGGAGACTGCTTCGGGTCAGTGTGGGACCCAGAAAGCTACACCTCGAAACACAAGTCCTGTGTGATTCAGATCAACGTGGGAATTGCCAGTCCAGTTGTTGGGCTTGGCAGCCATGCCGCACTCAGCCTCCCTCCCCGTGGGACTCACCACACCACTGGGAAAAGGATGGCCCCACAGCACAGCAGGTCAACCAGGAACAGAGAGTCCTTCCACAAGCCGTACTCAGTTGTGCCTTCCTCGGTGGACTCGATGATGATGTAGGCCACGTTGGCCAGCACCTGCGGGACATAAGCAGCTGTGAGGCCCCGGGCATAGGGGCTGTCGCAATGACAGCAGCCCATGCGGGGTCTGTGCATGAGACTGTAGATCCCTAGCTGCAGCCAAGGCATACTTTCCAGGCCCACGTGCCCTTCCAGGACTTCGCCCCTCTGCTAGGAGGAAGCAGAGCCTTTGTGCTGTCTCAGTGAGCCTGGGCAGGCCTGTGATGCTCTGACACACAGTAAGGGTGAAGTGATGCCGTGTGATTCCCGAGGCAGAGACAGCTCCCACCAGCTCTCCCATAAGAACTCTGGAGCCTGAAGCCTTCTTGCAAGGAGTCTGCCCCCCGCCGAAACTGCCATGCTGGAGAGAACATGCAGAGATGGGAAGACACCCAGGGGCCGCAGCTGTTCCAGCCTCTATCCAATCAAGTCTTCACGGCCCAAGAGACAGATGCAAGTCAAGGTTTCAAAATGCTCCCAGCCACTGTCTGGCTAAAATCACATAAAACCCCAAGCCAGATCCACCCAGTTAAGTCACTTGAGTTCCTGACCCACAGAAACTGACAGAGAGGATTAATGGTTATTGTTGCTTTAAGTCACTCCATTCTGGGGTAATTTGGTGTGCAGCAATAGATAACTGGGGCACTTTGCTTTTCAGGCACCCTGGGCCCCCAGGGAGCCACTCAGGTGCTGGACTTCACAGCCCGTTTAGCCATGGTGCCCACACTCCTCAGGCCCAAGAGCCAGAGGTGCTCAGGGAAAATAACTCCCCTAAGTATCAGATATGGGACTGTGTTATCAGCGACCAGAGTGGTGAGAATGTGCAGAGAAGCAGCTACGTTCCTCAGGGGAATCATTCAAGTCCACACTGGGCTCGCCACAGGTCTTCCCGGAGGCTCATCTGTGTCCACGGACGCCTTCTAGTTGCAAAGTGAAGGCTCTGCCAGGTGCACTTAGTCCCATTTTTAGGCTCTTAGCATGTTATGAAGTCTTCCAGCAGGCTCAACTGAGGTGCCACTGAGGACAGGGAAATCCACCACTCAAAATACATTCTTCTGGAGATGACCATTAGGGATGGACGCAGAGGACACAATTCACCCACACACCCCGAGAAGGTCATGGATCCACGTGCCCAGCTTGCTGTAAAGGTAACTGTCCACACTTTCCCATGGAAGGCAAACTGTAGTGCTACTGTTTGGGAAGCCTCTAAGGGTAATTTCTACACAGAATTTATAAATGACCAAACTTCACTTAGTACAAATGCAAAAATTACTTTGAGATTTAGTGTCCCCACTGACCCCAGCTTCTGAGTTCTCGCCCCATCCCCTGCCCCTCCCAAAGCCTTTGCAGACATCTGCATCTGTGGCTCTCTCCTTGAAGACGAAGGAGGCAAATGAAGCTTGCACCTAAGCTCCTGATTCCATGTGGTCTTTGCTCCACACATCTTACACAGGAGACAGAACGTGCCCAGGGGTGTCGGTGCTGACAATGTGCCAGTGATGCCCTTGAAATGCCATTTTGTCCATGGACATAATTTATTACTACTCAGAACCTCCAGTCAGTGCCCAAGGCCAAAAGAACAACATTTTGCCCTTCCAGGCTGATGTTCAAGGCCTGGAAATGATGTCCCAGCCTAGTTCCACTGTCTAAACACTCCTAACTTCCTTATATTTAATCTTTTAAATGTCCTTGTTTCCTCAGAGTGGTGAGGCATTTCCATGATACCATGTGCTTTTATCTCTCGGGGGAGCCCGCGACGGGGAGGCTGGGAAGACTGTGTCCCACCACGCCACGGTTCAGCTGGGGGCGGGAGGGACGGACCAAACCAACGGACGGGAAAGGGCCACAGGCAGCAGAGGGGCAAAGTGGGAAGAGGACCCAGGCTCCACCGCTCCCAAGCTCTGAGGCCTGGGCAGGCTGTGGGACTCAGTTTGGTCCACAAGTGATTCAATGAGGATGCTCTTTCTCATCCAACGACTTGGCACTAACACCTCCTTACACATAATCAAGGCACTATATGTGGCGCACCACAATACATGCTCCACCGTGCACCAAGGCTGCAGTCGATGTAGTTTCCCGACATGCAGTCATTCGATTTTAGATCAACTATCACTACACCTCCTCCCAGGACTTCCTACTGAAGGCTGGGCTGTCGTGTACTACATGCCCACCTGTAAGTATGCAGGTAGACATGGGACACTCGGACCCTGAAACAAAGTTCAGGAGAAGCAGCATAGGCGGTGACCTGCCCTGAGTCGGCTGGCCCTGCCCTCCTGCATGGTGGCGTGTGTCTGCAGCGGCCTGGTGACTCCAGGACTCGACAGCCAGAAGCCCCACACAGGTCCTCAACAGCTCTTGGCCACTAGACAGCAGGATCACGTAGCCGTTGCAAGGCCCTTGCTTCAGGTCCGTTTCTTTCCTTAAACGCCCAGTCTATCCCATCTCCGTCTAGAAGGCCCTTCTAGATCATCCTAACCTGAGCTATTACTCTCTCTCTGGGAGCCTGAGCAACTGGTCTGTTTTATCTACTTCGTGCTAACATGCTTCTCATTACAGTATGTGAGACTAGGTCTGTCAGAATTCTGGAAGTAGCTTTACTGCACACTTTGCCAACTGACCAATCACCAGTGGGCAGACCTGGGCACCTGGGGAGTTGTCCCCTTGCTTCTCCCACCTTCCACATTTACATCATGCTCCAAAATGTGAGCTCAGGTGACAAGGACAACTTTATCACACAGATGCTGTCTGATCAAGCAGAGCAGTTACGTGTCCCTCTCTGCTTATCATAAGTTCTTATTTTTGAGTCAAAATCTCACTCTGTTGCCACTGAAGCCTTGATCTCCCAGGTTCAGATGATCCTTCCACCACCTCAATCTCCTGAGGATCTGGGACTACAGGCGTGTGCCACCACACCTGGCTAATTCTTCATTCTTTATATAGACAAGGTCTCACTGTGTTGCCCAGGCTGGTTTACAACTTCTAGGTTCAAGCAAGCCTCTCATCTTGGCCTCCCAAAGTGCTGGGATTACAGACATGAGCCACCGCGCCCAGACTTATTATAAGTTGCTTATATCCAAGTTCTGTTTCCAAGAAGACTGTTCAATACAAGACACAGCTCCCCTACTGAGGGGCTCACAACCTTGCAAGGCTGGCCTCAGCTCGCAGCCCCAAACATAGCAAGGATCTCATACATATTTGTCCTGATGCCTATTATCATATTCGACCTTGTGGAAACTCACCGGCATCATCCACAGTTTTGAAATAATTTACTAACAAAAGCTTTATGTTTCTGGGCTTCCTTGCTAAGAGTGCCACTTTGTTACAGAGAAAAGGAATGCAGGAGAGAAAGCAGTGCTGTGGTCTCCCTAACCTTCAGCAGCTCTCAATCCAAGGTCTAGGCGTCCACAGGCCAGCGCAAAGACGGCTGATGGTCAAGCATCTCACAGGGTAATGACCAAAATCAGGTCTCTGAGTTTGGGAAGAGAATCCCAGTCTGGGCTTTCAGGGCAAACACACTCCCTCTTCCCACCCGGGCCTGGGGCTGGGTCCTGCCAAGGGCCACAAGAGAAAGTGGCAAGCAGGACTCAGGCTCCTTTACCTGGAGTGGAATGACGATCATGAAGATCTTTTTGTCTTTATCAGAAAGGATGTGCTTGATGAAAGCCCAGCCAGTACCGATGAGTGCAATGGTGATGAACAGCAGTGCCCCTTTCAGGCTGGAAGAGAAAACAACAGACACACTGGCAGTCTCCTTGGATTCTCACTCTGCAGCGACACTGCATGGCTCATTCTGAGTCCACAGGCCTCTTGCAACAGACAGACAGCCGTGTTCGGGAAATGCATCCGTCTGAGCAACACCTCCCTTGGTGCATACAGATAGGGAATGCTGAACAGCCAAGGGCCGCAGAGAGGGAGGAGCATGCCACCAAGTCCGAGCGCTCAGGCTGGGATGACCACCTGAGTGCCACACACCATTAGGATGGCAGGGACCCAACAGGAGGGCAGGGCCAGCCGACTCAGGGCAGGTCACCACCTTCGCTGCTTCTCCCGAGCTGTGTTTCGGGATCCAAGTGTCCCACATGTACTTGCATACTTACAGGTGGGTGACGTAGTACACAACAGCCCAGCCTTCAATAGGAAAGCCCTGGGAGGAGATGTAGTGGTAGTCGATCTGAAATCAAACGACGGCAAGTCAGGAAGTCGCATCAACCACAGGCCTCGGTGCACGGTAGGGTAGTAAGTAACCCAGAGTGCTTCCAGAGTGGGGTGGCCCCCACCCCACTGCTTAATCGCTTACTTGTCAAGTCACAGATAAGCATGTGAGTGCGCTAACGAATGTCAAGTAGCCTGAGAAACTGGACACAAGGTTTCAATGTCACCAACACCCAGCCCAGGTCCCTCTCTTGAGGCAAGTGTTCACCCGGGCAAACGGCTGACTATTCTTTTCTTTAAAATCTCCAAGGTCAGGGTCGGGTGTGGTGGCTCATGCCTGTATTCACAGTACTTTGAGAGGCTGAGGCAAGAGAATTGCTTGAGCCCAGGAGTTTGAGACCAGCCTTGGCAACACAGTCAGACCTCATCACTACAAAAAATAAAAAAATTAGTTGGACATGATGGCATGCACCTACAGTCCCAGTTACTTGGGAGGCTGAGGTGGGAGAACCACTTGAGGCCAGGAAGTCAAGACTCAAAAAAAAAAAAAATCTCCAGGGTCCAAATGTCTCAGGTCTTTTCAGTGTTCCAGCCATGACATTTATCTTCCATGCCCCGGCTGTTATACAAATAAGTAAGGCAGTCAGGGAAAAAAAATCTACATGGAATCACCCAGCTTCAGCTATTCCTTTCTTTGAAAAAACAAACAAACAAACAAACCATAAATTGAGAACTACTTCAAGTCACCAATGCCTTTTAACTTGCGCAGCACGTTCCGGTAGTGCATCCAAAACGCCTCCTGGCAGGGCCCACAGAGCTGACGTCATTTCTATGTCCTTCCTTCTATCCAAATGGCTGTCTAGACATTAAAGTGACCTGAGGACCCAATCACACATTATCTACCTGGCTCCAAAAAGAACCTTTGAACTCAGACCCAAATGGGAAATTATCCACATAACTCATCTCGTGACACTGTAACCAGACATGTTATTGCTTTTTTCTATGAGGACACTTTCCAGTGCCAGGTCTAGGGACTGTCAGCCTCACAAGCGTGGTCTGTGGGTACCTCGTAGGACCACAGATTGGGGAAGCTGTGGCCTCCGCCCATGGGGAAGTTCATTGCCTTTTGTACCAGTTCTGAACATCCACAACTGAAGTTTAATTCTGATGCCTCAATCTCTGTAGCATCAGTCTTCCCCCAAATAAGTTTGCTAATGCAGAACTTCAGATTAAGTAGGAGCATGAGGGACCATTTGGAAACAAGTCAGTGGGTGGCCTTCTCACCTCAAGAAATGGCAGAAAAGAAGAAATAAAAAACATTCTTGAAAACTTGAGGGTTTGTAAATAGTCTCAGAAGATACCTTAGGTCTAGAATTAGGGGAAGTAGTGACCATTTATCCCCAAGGCCAGTCCCTCCCAGACAAAAGGAGGCTTTGTAAGAAACACATTCTGCCGGGCTCGGTGGCTCAGCCTGTAATCCCGCTCTTTGGGAGGCTGAGGTGAGTGGATTGCCTGAGCCCGCAGGCTCGAGACTGCCTGGGCAACTTGGAGAGACCTCATTTCTACAATAAAATTAAAAAATCAGCCGGGTGTGGTAGCGCGCGCCTGTAGTTCCAGCTACTGGGAAGGCTGAGGCGGAAGGATCGCCAGAGCCAAACAGGCGAGGCTGCGGTGGCTGGGAACGGCCACTGCACTCCAGTCTGAGCAGAGTGAGAATCCAACTCAAAAAAAAAAAAAGAAACACATTCTTTTGCTTTCTTTCCCACCAATCTATCCCCTCCCTTCTAATCTACTTTTCCTGCTCATATGGGCATTGTACATCTTTTCCTGAACGATCCACCAAATACCAATACGTACTGCATGGAACACCAAGGAAAGAGACTTGGTGAAAGGAAGGGCTGCCATCAGCCAGTGAATTTTAAATACATCATTCCTGTAAAAACAGAGAGAAAGAATTAAAAGAAGAATCCATGCTCCAATGGTCAGCCACAGCATCCAGCATCAGCAATCTCTCTCAGAAGGCAGTAATGCAATGAGCAAACCACAAACATGAAGCCTTTTAAAAAAGTAGTTTTTGCTGTAGAAAAGGTTTCATACGGAGCCCTGAGGTCACCTCTAATACACAATGTCATGTCGTGACTGGACCTGAGAGTCATGTACTGCATCAGACGTGCTGGATCATGAGACCCAACAGGAAGTCTAACACAGGCTGCCGGCTTCTACCCGGGGACCACCCTGGGAAGCCACAGAGACCAGAATGAGGCAGATGGGTCGCAGAAAACAGCATGGAATTCCCAGGAAAGCAGAAGGCCACCAGGGGTGGCTGTAGGGGATGCCTGCAGCCCAGAGCAGAGGAGAGCTTGGAGCCAGCAGCGGGGACAGGGGAAGGGGAAATGCTGGGGCTGTGTGTCCCTTTCCCCTAATGTCTGGTGGTGCCTGCCAAACACCCCAGGTCATTGGGATGAAATGCTCACTCCTACACCCAAGCCCACAGTACTAGTCCACCTTTGGGGTACCAGGCATGAAATTCTCTACCCCATCCCTCCTCTTCCTAAGATTAACCTAACAGGACATACGAGACCATTATGGAAGAAAACGGAAAACTCTACTAATAAAGTACACAAAGACTCGAGTAAGAGCCATGGAAAAACCTAAACTCTCAGATAGTGGGGTATCTTGGAAAGCCAGAGCAGTAAAAACACATGGAACAGGTACAGTTTACCTGTTATTCAGACAAATAAACCACCAGAATAGACTGGAGAGCTCAGAAATAGATTCATACATGTATGGAAGCTTGACATATGACAAGGTGACACCAAATGGGCGAGAGAAGGACAGATTGTTTAATAATTAGCATGGGAAGAAATCAGCTCCAACCTATAGAAGAAAATAAAGGTGCCTTCTACACCACACTTACACAAAAGAGGGTTCCAGGTGGATTTCAACGCTAAATGTAAATTACACAGTTTGTGAACCTCGACTAGAAAATGGGCTTCTTCAGCTCCAAGAGGCACTGCCCAGAGACTAAAATTAGCGCTGATTCCACTGAAATGAAAGTTTTTCCTTCCACAGTGAACACCTCAGACAAGTTTAAAAGACTAGGAGAAGAAACACGCGATGTCTAAGACGATGGGTTAATATCTAGAATATGCAAGAAACTCATACAAGACAACAACAAAAAAAACCCAACAGGAAAGTGCTCAAAGAATACAGGCAGTCACAAGAGGTGATGCTCAAGTGGTCTACAAGTCCTTGAAATAATCCACACCACCAAATTCAAAGAAATGCAAAATAGAGCAAGGTACCAGTTGATAGCCATCAGACTGGCAAAATTTCAGATGTGAGTCCTGGTGAGCATATGGAAGCAGGAGGCTGATGCACTTCTGGCAGAAGCAGAAACTGGTGCAGCCACACTGGAGGGCAACCAGACAGCACTTAATGAAATTAAATGAGCGTCTACCCACAGTCCAGCACACCTCCTTCTGGTACCGTGGGTCAGAGGCTGCCCAGGCTCATAGTGGATCTCAGGAGGTAGGAGGCAGGTCTTGGCCGGCTGTGTTAGCAGGGAAATGGAGGCAACCTAGGCTGTATCCATCACTAAAGAAATGGAGGCTGGCCGCAGTGGCTCAAGTCTGTCATCCCAGCACTTTGGGAGACTGAGGTGAGGGGACTGCCTGAACCCACGAGTTCAAGACCAGCCTGGGCAACTTGGTGAGACCTCGCCTCTACAACAAATCAAAAAATTAGCCGAGTGTGGTGGCACTTGCCTGTGGTTCCAGCTACTTGGAAGGCTGAGGTGGAAGAATTGCCTGAGCCCAGCAGGTAGAGGATGTAATGGCCATAAGTGTGCCACTGCACTCCAGCCTGGGCGATGGAGTGAGACTCCAACTCAAAAAAAAAGGAATGAAGTAGTGAAATGTGGTGCACAGAGCATGCAATGCTCTTAAGTAGGTAAAAAAATCAATGCACTGGTTGGGTGTAGTGGTTCATACCTATAATCCCAGCACTTTGGGAGGCTGAGGCAGGAGGAATACTTGAGACCAAGAGTTTGAGACCAGCCTGGCCAGCACAGCAAGAACTCATCTGTACAAAACAAAACAATTAGCTAGGCATAGTGGTGCAAGCCTGTAAGCCCAGCTATGCGGGAAGCAGAGGTAGGATTGCCTGAGCCCAGGAGATGGAGACTATAGTGAACTGTGATCATGCTACTATATTCCAGTCTGTGCAACAGAGTGAGACCCTGACTCAAAAAAATAAAATAAATAAATGAACTAGATGCACACACAGCCAAGTGGCCAGTCCTTAAAAAAGATATTACTGGCCAGGCTCGGTGGCTCAGCCTGTAATCCCAGCACTTTGGGAGACCGAGACGAGTGAATTGCCTGAGCCTGCGAGTTCAAGACCAGCCCAGGCAACTTGGCAAGACTTCATCTCTACAATAAATAAGAAATTAGCTGGGTCGGGTAGCGTGTGCCTGTAGTTCTGGCTACTTGGAAGGCTGAGGCGGAAGGATCGCCGGAGCCCAGCAGGTCGACACTGGAGTGGCTGTGAGTGTGTACTTCAGCCTGGTGACAGAGTGAGACTCCAACTCAAAAAAAAAAAAAAAAAAAAGATATTACCGAGCGAAAATGTACAAGAACAACATCCACAGATAGTACAGCTTATATACATTTAAAATACATGCAACGCCAATAAGTGCTACTTATTAACAAGAATATGCCAACATCCCAAACTGTAATTAAGCACACTTGCATGGCTATCCATGGCTGGGAGAGTGGAAGAGAGGACAGGAAGTAAAAAGAATAATAAACAAGAGAGGGGCCTTCACAGAGTGACAATGAGTGTGCCATGGATTGACGCATGCTCAGTTTCCGGCTCACTTCCACCCCGGTACTTTCCTGTTCCAGCACTCACCTCCTTGAAGGTCAAAAAGGAAGTCAAGGCCAGGGTAGTCTGTTACTACTGAATGGCAATGAGACGCACTCGAGGGCAGAGCCACCCCGTAAAGAGCTGTGCTCACTCACACATCCAGCAACCCTGACTTGCAGGCAATGGTTAAAACACTGATGCTGGGACAGCGACATGGCATAAAGCACAAGGCCCTGACACGCCCCTGCCCTGGGTCAGAATACAGTTCTACCCACGCTCAGAGCTGAGCGGAGCCTGAGACCCACTAGCAAGCAGACTTGGGTCCAATCTTAGCTCTTCAGGTGACGCTGGCCATGTCTCACAAAGGAGGCCAAGATCTCTGTTTCTTCCGAGACGAGCTAAGAGTCTGCGAAATGTGCCAGGTGGGCAGCCTTGCAGCACAAGCCTTAGAACACATGAACTTCTGACATAGCAGAACTACTGTAAGCCTCCTGGGAAACAGGAGGTCTGCTGTGTGTCCACCATACTCCAGCAAAGGCACAAGATGCAACTTGGACAACAGAGGCCAGCTTCACTTAACCACAGATTTAAAATTGCTACCACCCAGGTCTGTGGCTCACACCTATAATTTCAGCACTTTGGGAGGCAAAGGCAAAAGGATTGTCTGAGTCCAGGGGTTCAAGACCCGAGTCCAGGGGTTCTCGCCTGGGCAACATGGCAAGACCTCAACTCTATAATAAATAAAAAAATTAGCCAGGTATGGTGGCGCACACCTGTGGTTCCAGCTACTTGGAAGGCTGAGGCAGAAGGATCACTTGAGCCCAGCAGGTCAAGGCTACGGTGGCCATGAGCGTGCCACTGCACTCCAGCCTGGGCAACAGAATGAGACTCCTACTCGAAAAAATAATGAAATAATAAAATTGTTACCACGATTTTAAATAAGAGAGCCAGGGACAGTGACTATGGCCATGATCCAGAAAAGGAAAATTAAAATATCACTGAACACCTGGCTACTATTTTATAAGTACTTCATTCATGCACAGCAACCTGATTTGCAAAGCCCTTTCGTATACATTAATTTGGGTAGAATCAAGTAACAAATCTAGGAATCTAAGACTCTTGGAGGAAAGGTGGAGCAAATAACCACTGTCCCAGCTTTGTGGCCGAGAAGAGGCAAACAGGTAGCTGCAGTTGAAGTTTACACTTGAAATCATGTCACTGGGCGCGGTAACAAAGTGGGAGGCCAAGGCAAGAGGACTGCCTGAGCTCAGGAGTTCGAGACCAGACTGGGCAACTTGGTGAGACCTCGTCTTTACAATAAATCAAAAAACATAAGCAGGGAGTGATAGCACATGCCTATAGTTCCAGCTACTTGGAAGGATCGCCTGAGCCCAGCAGGTCGAGGCCGCAGTGGCCGTGAGAGTGCCACTGCAGTCCAACCTGGGCAACAGAGTGAGACTCTGACTCAAAAAAAAAAAAGAAAAAGAAAAGAAATCATGCCTCCTGCCTTCTAGTTCTTACTTTTCTAGTAAAGGCAAAAGTAAAACTTCCTTTTTTAAAAAAACAAACGTGTATGGTCTAAATGTGTAGGACTCTTTCTTTCTTAGTAACTGGTAAGTTACTATCTGCCTGATAATCTAGTCCAAACACGATTATGTGGGCCCTTCACAAGTAAACAAGACACTCTTCCCATCTGGGGGTGTAAAGGGCATTACAACAAGTAGGCACCAGCAACATCCCAGCCACAGCCTGACAGACCAGACTCTGGGCAAGTCCATTAGAAGACAATCAGACCACCAGGTATTAAAGAGGTCTCAAGTTCTGCCCCAGCGCTTCAGAGAAAGGTATTTCAGGGCGCTTGCCTATTTTGTGAATGTAAGTCAAGTTATATCTCAATGCTACATTCATACACCGTCATTTACTCAGCTTAGGAGCCTTGTCATCCGACAAGTACTTCAACTCTAACTGCACATGAATATTTTGTTTTCAACATTCTTGGAGGGAAACAGAGTCCATGAGTATGCAGAGCTGCTCCCCTCAAGAACCAATACAGGAAGTTAAAGCCTCAGGGGTTTCAGAAAAAAAGGCGAAGAGCCAGGCAGATGGGCTTTGAAGAGGTTTTCTCCAGAGCCAAGCATCTGGAGGTCAATAGAGAGTCCATCCAAGCAGGCCTTGAGCCAGTGCCTTCAGTACTAAGCAGGAATGCTCTGCTCTCATCCGGGCAGTGGGTCATCATCACTGACTTCCTCTCCTGAGTAAATAGCCCAAATGGGACCCATGTGCTCTGAATCCTGGACCGTGAGGTTTCCACTATGGAAACACTTTGCTTGGACATTTTATCTTGCTTGCATATTATTGAAATATTTACATCTGCCTTCTAAACAAAACGATGTAAAGTGAACAAATACCAAGGCATGCCCACGCCTCCCACACTGCAAGGTTCGCACACAGCCTCCCTATTGTTTCAGAGGAGATGCCCTTTGAAAAGAACATGATTGCCAAGTGCCAACTCCTCCCGGGCTCTGAAGCCAACAAGGGGTGAAGGTCTATAAATCTCACACATCTAAGCTGAAGGGCTCAAGAAAGTAATAGTTTACCTTCGTTTTCGAAGGATATGAATCCAGATGGTCCCAGAAAGGAAGAAGAAAAAGGCCATAGAGATGTACAATTTGGGGAGAGGAATTTCTCCTGCTGAGAGGTAGCTGTCAGGATTCTTCTCTGTGATCTCAATCTATAACCAACATGAAATTAATTTTTATTCGTAATAGATCATCCCTTATTCAGCAATTTGGAATCTCAGCTGTTTTATTTAAGCTTAACCAAGGGAATACCAGCAGATAACAATCACATCCACATTCTTTCTTTAAAACTCAGGTAACCCACCTGAAACAACCACAATCTTAAGGTACAGGCTGAAGTGTATACACATCCTTGGGAGCTTTATACTTTCTTATTTATGACTCCTCTGATGAAGTATCTAGCCCATTGGCAGGGACATGGGTCTAGCCACATTTTTCATTACTTAAGTGTTCTTTTTTTTTTTTGAGAGAAGTCTCACTCTGTCACCCAGGCTGGAGTGCAGTGACATGCTCACAGCCACTGCAGCCTGGACCTGCTGGGCTCAGGTGATCCTTCCACCTCGGCCTTCCAAGTAGCTGGAACCACAGGCATGTGCCACCACTCTTGATTAAATTTTTTTTTAAATTTATTGTAGAGATGGGATCTTGCCAAGTGACCCAGGCTGGTCTCAAAACCCTGAGCTCAGGCAAAACTCTCGCCTCTGTCTCCAAAGTGCTGGGATGACAGGCATGAGCCACCATGCCTGGCTGCTTAAGTGTTCTGAAAACCCATTCCTATAGAGAAATAAACAGTATGCATCTGATACTGGTCAAGTCCCCGTGAAAGAGTCTCTATGCGGTACTCACATCGAGGCTGAAGGAAAGCTTGTCATTAGGCAGTTCATTCCCAAGGCATTTATGAAAATACAGACTGTAAAGGCCTTCCTGGTCATCTGTGCTGATGTTGAAGAAAAACTGAAAGTGAAGAGAAAAATCAGTTAGAGGCATCAAATCCTCCACTATATTCTTAAACCTTAGAAATAAACTATGGACAGAAGAAAGTAAAGACAGACTACTCAAATCAATCAAACGCTCCCGAAGCAGAGTCTGATGGATGATTTCTGAGTCTGTGATCCCCCCCATGTGTTCAGGCACACAGAACAGTTGACAGAGTTGTACAGGGAACAGTCATATACCTACTACCTAGCTTCTAGCAAATCAGAGCTATCTATTCAACTCACATTTTACTACACTTGTTTTATCGCCTATCTATCCAGAAGTCTGCAAAGATAGCCTAGGATGGAGTCATCCAGTTTTTTGTTGTTTTTGTTTATTTTTGAGTCAGAGTCTCAGTCTGTCACCCAGGCTGGAGTGTAGTGGCATGCTCACAGTCACCACAGCGTCGACCTGCTGAGCTCTGGCGATCCCTCCACCTCAGCTTTCCAAGTAGCTGGAACTACAGGCGTGCGCTACCACAACAGGCTATTTATTTATTTATTTATTGTAGAGACAAGGTCTCGCCAAGTTGCCCAGGCTGATCTCGAACCCACAGGCTCAGGCAATCCACTCGTCTTGGTCTTACAAACTAGGATTACAGGCTGAGTCACCGAGTCCAGTCACGTCACCCAGTTTCGAAGCCAATATGTTACCTTGCTCTTTACAGATATAAAATACTCTTTAGGGTTGGGCATGGTGGCTCACATCTGTAACCCCAACTACTAAGGAGGCTGAGGCAGGAGAATCACTTGAAGCCAAGAGTTCAAGGCAGCAGTGAACTATGATCTTGCCATTGTACTCCAGTATGAGTGACAGAATGAGACCTGAATCAAATCAAATCTCTTTACTTTTTTATTTTTATTTTTTTTGAGTTGGAGTCTCACTCTGTCGCCCAGACTGGAGCGCAGTGGCCGCTCCCGGCCACCGCAGCCTCGACCTGCTGGGCTCCGGCAATCCTTCCGCCTCAGCCTTCCGAGTAGCTGGAACTACCATGCCCGGCTAATTTTTTATTTATTGTAGAGATGAGGTCTCGCCTGCCCAGGTGGGTCTTGAACCCGCAGGCTCAGGCAATCCACTCACCTCAGCCTCCCAAAGGTGCGGGATTACAGGCTGAGCCACCGAGTCTGGCTGTTTGTCATATATTTCATGAGTTTAAATGAAGTTTAATGTAAACCAAGATAATAGATAGATACAGATAACCACAGAATTCTAAGACCATCTCATTATTCACAGTGAGTTCTAGAAAAAAAAAAGGAATCTCCCTGAAATGTATTATTTAAGGTTACATACACATAATCAGTAAACTATAAAAAAGAGTAAGGATATGATTATGACAATATTTTTCATAGTGGGGTTACTGTAGAGTTGGGAGGGACATACAGTTTCTGGGGTGCCAGCACTGTTCTACTTCTTGTCCTGGGTGGTAGTTATACAGGTGCTTGTTTATAATTATTTGCTAGACTCAATATATGTACTATGTACTCTTCCCTGTGTATACTGTACTTCACAATTTAAAAGAATGGAGAAAAAAAGACATTCAACAAGATGGAAATAAAAGACTGAGAACACTCAAGCTGAAATTATGAATTTGTTAAACTATGTCTGAAAGTCACAGTTGTCAACATGAGAGTATTTTAGTCTACTCAGGTAGCATTTAAAATTATTAAACATATTAATAACTTTTAGTTCTAAAAGACACTTAGGGACTGGGCGTGATGGCTCAAGCCTGTAAGTAATCCCAGCACTTTTGGAGGCCAAGGTGAGCTCAGGGGTTCGAGACCAGCCTGAGCAACATGGTGAGACCATGTCACTACAATAAATAAAAAAATCAGCCAGGCGTACTGATACATGACTGTGGTTCCAGCTACCCGGAAGGATGTGCTGAAAGGATTGCCTGAGCCTAGCAGGTCAAGGCTGCAGAGGGTGAGAGCATGCCATGGCACTCCTGCCTGGGAGACAGAACGAGACTCTGACTCAAAAAAATATAAACAATCAAACTTTTAGGAAGTCTAAAAAAGATGTAAAAGTTCAAAAGACACTTAAAAAAATCAACAGAACCACCATAGTTGATCAGAGTAGGCACCCGGCCCTTAAAGACCAAAACAAAATAAAAGAAAAATGTAAACTCTAGAGTTGTAATAAGCCCTGCTGGTTCCCCTCCTGCCTTTGGGTAGATAAACCATCACCCTCTTCCCTGAGTCAGACAGAAAAGCTCAAAATGATGGCTCCGTCCACACCTGGGAGGATGCTGGTAGCAAGACAGTAAGAAACCACCTCTTGCTTCTTTCTGAGGGGAACCACTTGGCCACTGCCTGCTCTGGGCCTCCCGAGAGCCCTACGGAAGGGCTGTTTCTGCTCATGACCTTGCTCAGCACACAGGCAGCCTCCCCTTGATGCTTACCCAACATAAAGCACCACCATTGACAATTGTGTGCATCCTATAACACCTTGCTTTGTGATTTAAAAAAAAAAGGCATTTCAACATTCAGAAAAATCTATTAACAAGCATTTTTTTTTCCTGAGATAGGATCTTGCTCTGCTGTCCAGGCTGGAGTGCAGTCATGCCATCGTAGTTCACGGCAGCCTCAACCTCCTGGGCTCAAGCGATCTTACCACCTCAGTCTTCCAAAGTGCTTTAATTACAGGCATGAGCCACCGCACCTTGCCTTATTAAAAAGCACTTAAAAGTAAAAGAAGCCAGGCTCGGTGGCTCAGCGTGTAATCCCGTGTTTTGGGAGGCCGAGGTGAGTGAATTGCCTGAGCCCGCGGGTTCGAGACCCGCCTGGGCAACTTGGTGAGACCTCATCTCTAAATCAAAAAATTAGCCGTGCATGGTAGCATGTAGTTCCAGCTACTTGGAAGGCTGAGGCGGAAGGATCACCGGAGCCCCAGCAGGTCGAGGCTGCAGTGGCCAGGAGCGGCCACTGGACTTCAGTCTGGGCGACAGAGTGAGACTTCAACTCAAAAAACTAAAAAATAAATAAAAGTAAAAGAGAGAAAAGCACCTTTTGTATTTTCTCAAGGATGAAGTAAAGCAAAGTAGTTAAACACATGGACCTTCGAGGCAAATAAACTTGAATCTGAATCTCGCCCTCTTAGGCAAGTTACTTCACCTCTCTGAGCCTGTTTCCTCCTCTATAAAAGAAGAATACCAGTACCTGCTTCATAGAGCTGTTGTGAGGATAAACTGAGACAGCACTGTTCATTCGCCTCCATAATTACTGGAGAGCCCATTACAGAATATGCCCAAGATAAGAAGTTTCATATACATCAGTAAGAAAGGAGAGAAAGGGGCAACCCCTCAGGTCCCTTCCTAATGTGGGCACTTTTCTATCCTCTCAGTAAATCCTAACTTCTAAAAATAAAAGAAAGGAGAGAAAGCCTCTGCCCTTAAAGGCTCCCTCTATAGGGGGGAGACAGATGTAAATGACATAAGTAGAGTACACAGCATGTTGGAGAGGAGTGTGCGAAGGAAAAGCAGGTTGGACCACATACCTCAACTAATGAAAACTAGCTAAAAAAGAGGCAGTGATTCTTATGAGCTAAGAATAAAACATTATTTGTACAGTGCTTTGAATGCACTTTTACTTTAAAAATGATCCTCATTACAACCCTGTGAGATGGGTCCTGTCATTTTTATTGTTAGATGATTAAACAGTAAGGTTCAGAAATTAAGTGAGTTGTCCAAGGTTACCCAGCTGGTAAATGGGTGCTGAGATCCAATCCAATAACCTGTTCGTGTACATACGTTGTGATGCTGCCATAAAACATTCATGTGCAGGTAATACCCATGACAGCTGAGCAGGTCACTCAAGGCCTCTGAGTCTCAGTGGACTAACTTCTAAAATTGCAGTGTCAGCCGGGCTCGGTGGCTCAGTCTGTAATCCTGTGCTTTGGGAGGCTGAGGTGAGTGCACTGCCTGAGTCCGCGGGTTCGAGACCTGCCTGGGCAACTTAGCGAGACTTCATCTCTACAATAAATCAAAACTGAGCCGGGCATGGTAGCACACATCTGTAGTTCCAGCTACTTGGAAGGCTGAGGCGGAAGGATCGCCGGAGCCCAGCAGGTCGAGGCTGCGGTGGCCAGGAGCGGCTACTACACTCCAGTCTGGGCAACAGAGTGAGACCCCAGCTCAAAATAAAATAAAATAAAATAAAATTGCAGCGTTGCCCTAAACCATCACCAAGGTCCTTTCAAGTATGGAATGCTATGCTTCCGGCATACTGCATCACAGGCAGCACGGGGGCAAAGAGGCAGAGGGGTCACAGGAAAAACTAGGCAGAACTGAGATGCAATCTGGGCCTTGTCACTTACACTAGACAATCACAAAGTTACTTATTCTCGGAGACTTATGATTTGGTAAGTGGGTATGCAATAATACCTACCTTGTAGGTTTGTTATCAAGAAACTACAGTATTCAAGTGACATGCATAGCCTAAGTTATTATTCCTAAATTTAGAATGTCATTAAAACATCAACCTTTTACATGGTAGACAGAAATTCTATAAAGCTTTACTCAAAGAGGATACATACCTGAAATGAAACTGTCCCATCGTTATTATGAACAGAAAAGGATTTCTCTCCCATTGCCTGAAAAGACATAACAATCTGTTTGAGGATGATACTGGTGAAAAAGCATGTAGTTAAAAGTAAAACTATGGCCAGGCGCAGTGTCTCAAGCCTGTAATCCCAGCACTTTAGGAGGCCAAAGCGAGAGGATTGCCTGAGCTCAGGGGTTCAAGATCAGCCTGGGCAACCTGGTGAGACCTTATCTCTACAATTAAGCAAAAAATTAGCTGAGCATGGTAGCACATGCCTATAATTCCAGCTACTTGGAAGGCTGAGGCAGAAGGATCACCTGAGCCCAGCAAGTTGGGGCTGTGGTGGCTGTGAGCGTGCCACTTGCACTCCAGCCTCGGCGACAGAGTAAGACGCCAACTCAAAAAACAAAACAAAACAAAACAAAAACAATAAAACTAATTTAATACACAAAATGACACAAAGAATTCTTCTTAAATTCTAAATTTGCTGACCTTCAAAAGCTCTTTGAAGATCAGTCTGGGGAACATAGTGAGACCTCGTCTCTACAAAAAATTAAAAAATTAGACAAGTGTGGCCCAGCTACTCAGGAAGCTGAGGCAGAAGGATTGCCGGAGTCCAGGAGGTTGAGGCTGTGATGAGCTGATCATGCCACTGCACTCTAGCCTGGGCGACTGAGTGAGACCCCAACTCGAAAAAATAAATTTTAAAAAGGCACAGTTTAGGCTGGGCACAATGGCTCACATTTATAATCCCAACATTTTGAGAAGTCAAGGCAAGAGGACTGTCTGTGCCCAGGGGTTCAAGGCCAGCCTGGGCAACCGGGCCAGAACTTGTCTCTACAATAAATAAAAACATTAGCTGGGCGTGGCAGTATGTGTCTCCAGCTACACGGGAGGCGGAAGCAGAAGGAGGCTGAGGCCGTGGCAAGCTGTGATCGTGCTACTGTACTCCAGCCTGGGTGACAGAGTAAGAGTTCAACTTGAGAAAGAAAAAAAAAGCTCCCTGAAACAGAATTCACACTGTACTCCAGCCTGGGTGAAAAAACGAGACTCTGGCTCAATAAATAAATAAATAAATAAAATTCACCATCCTTTCAAGATATCCAAAATCACCTTTGAAGAGAATGGCCATTCTTCTTCACCGGCTTCCTTTTCCTCGGCCCTCTCTTCTGTCTCCCTGCTAGCCCCCACCCTTCCCTCCCTCGCCCCAAATCTTCCTGCTGGGGTGCTTCTTGACTCTTGACACTCCAGCAAGACTGAGGATGCTCACCCAGGCCACATGCTGACACATCCCCTGAACTCCGCTTCTGACTTAAAATGACCAAAGTATTGCCATTTGTACAATGAACGAATACAAAGCAACAAAAATACAGGAACGATTGGTACATGCAACAACACAGATAACTCATAGAAATTATGCAAAATACAAGAACACAAAGTGCTGCAAGATTCACTCATATGAAGTTCTATAAAACGAATCCAGACTACAGTGAAAGCTCAGTGGAACAGGATTACAAAAGGGCAGAAGAACTTCAGGGGTGATGGATATGTTCATTCTCTGGCTTGACTGATAAGTCAAACCTTTCAAATTGTTGCTTAAAATATGCACAGTTTAAGCCGGGCTCGGTGGCTCAGCCTGTAATCCTGTGCCTTTGGGAGACTGAGGTGAGTGGATTGCCTGAGCCCGCGAGTTTGAGACCCGCCTGGGCAGCGAGACCTCATCTCTACAATAAAATCAAAAAATTAGCCGGATGTGGTAGTGCGCGCCTGTAATTCCGGCTACTTGGAAGGCTGAGGCGGAAGGATCGCCGGAGCCCAGCAGGTCGAGGCTGCAGCGGCCGGAAATGGCCACTGCACTCCAGTCTGGGCGACAGAGGGAGACTCCAACTCAAAAAAAAAAAAAAAAGCACAATTTATTGTATGTCAATTACATCTCAACCAAGATGTTAAAGCAAAACATTGCCATTTGGATACCCCCTCAGTGAAAAATCAAGCTATCACAAGCCAAAATTTCCAATTTTCCTCCTTCCGGTATTTCTAGCATCCACTCCTCTGCTACTCTCTCTCCTCCCACCACCCTAACTGGTCTCCCAGATGGATCCCTCATTTTACACTCCAAGGCTCTTCTCTAGACCAGATCCTCATTACGCTAAACCTGTGTTATCACAACAGTGATGGTCCCTCTAATGTCACTCTCTCTCTCTCCAAGGCTGCCTACACATTACTGTCAGGTGATGATCTTCAGGCCAGGTGTGGTGGCTCACGCCTGTAATCCCAGCACTTTGGGCGGCCAAGGTGGGAGCACCACTTGAGCCAGGAATTTGAGACTAGCTTAGGCAATACAGCGAGACCTCTCACCGCTACAAAAAATTTAAAAATTAGCTGGGTATTTTGGCACATGCCCGTAGTCCCACCTCTTGGGGATGCTCAGGCAAGAGGATCACTTGAACTCAGGAGGTCGAGGCTGCAGTGAGTCATTACTGTGCCACGGACTCTAGCCTAGGTGACCAGAGTGAGACCCTGTCTTGAAAAGAAGTAAAATAATAAAAAAATATTAAAATAAAAAAGAATGAGCCGGGCTCGGTGGCTCAGCCTGTAATCCTGCACCTTTGGGAGGCTGAGGTGAGTGGATTGCCAGAGCCCGCGGGTTCGAGACCCGCCTGGGCAGCAAGACCTCATCGCTACAATAAATCAAAAATCAGCCGGGCATGGTAGCGCATGCCTGTAATTCCGGCTACTCGGAAGGCTGAGGCGGAAGGATCGCCAGAGCCCGGCAGGTCGAGGCTGCGGTGGCCAGAAGCGGCCACTGCACTCCAGTCTGGGCGACAGAGTGAGACTCCAACTCAAAAAAATAAAAAAATAATAAATAAATAAATAAAAAAGAATGTGCTCTTCAATAAACACTACTTCTGTCACATTCTTTTCTGATTAGGAACTCATGGCAACTTCCTGATGCCCGCACATCAATTCCTTCTATTGCCTGGCCCTGTGTTATCTAAGCTCTTTCTCTCTGCTTCCAAATATGTGCCTTTTACTCCCAACAGGCCGGTGCCCAGGATCATCACATACATTCCCACTGTCCAGTCTTTGCCACGGCACTCTTCATCCACATCCTTCTTCGCCACTGCCTGACCACACTCCAAGCTCAGCCCCAGCAACACTTCCTCCCAGAGGGCTCTCGAGGGGCTTCCCCTCCTCTCACTGCTGGCACCTTAGCATTCAACTCTCCTTTCTAATGTTTCCGTATGTCAACACTGCAGTCCCAAAGAGGAGGCTACTCCCTGTAGGTTAGACCTGCACACACATAGCCAGCCCTCCAGAGCACAGGTTCCACATCTGGGGGGTGAGCCAACCGTGGGCAAAAAATATTCAAAAGCTAAACGAAGAAGTGGACTGAACCCACCAAAGATCAAAGGAGTCCAAAAAACAAACTAAAAACAATAAAACAAAAAGAAACAACACTAACTTAAAAGCAACACAGTATAACAACTACTTACAGAGCATTTACATTGTATTAGGTATCCTAAGGATTCCAGAGATGATTTAAAGTATATAGGAGGGTTTAAATCATGTAGGTTATATGCAACTACTAATCCATATTAAAGAAGAGAAACCACGCCCTGTGGACACCAAGAAATGACTGCATATGGACTGTGTATGTGCCTGTATGTACATACATTAATACACACACATACAAGTACACACAACACACATACCTCCATACATGACCAGCAAAGCTGAGCACAGGTGGGTGGTTAGTTCTTACCTTGGAATCCACTGTACTTCTTTTGGACTTTCTGCTGTCTAGAAGCAGAAACATTCACGAGATATTACTGTATGCTTCCATATACATATGTATATACACACACATATACATTACAGTATCATTTTATAAGGCTCCAGCTTGTATAACATCAAATAATTAAAACAAACAGACCAAAAAAAAAAAATCTCATGGACTGCCATCTCCTTGGGTCCCAAAACATAATTCTTGAGGGGCAGAAGCAGCAAATCAGAAACTCTTCTATTTAAGTGGCATCTAGTAAATGGTAACACTAGCAGCAGGGGAACTCATTTCTGAATACTACAGTGTACATTATTGTCAGAGACGCCACTGGAATGACTTTCCTGATTTTCTAAGTAATCAGGCTTGAAAAGTAATCATTTTTAAAAAGCATATATATGAGATTTCTTTACACACATGGAAAATCAAGAGCAAGTAACATTAGTATAATGCATACTTTTTTCCCCTACAACAAGAAGTATTAAGATTGCTAGTGGCTTCTTTCATAAAACAGAGTGGGCCTCTGTGTCTTATTTTTATTTAAGATACTCCTCATGGGGAAGACAGGATTTCAAGCTCCCTGCAGGAAGGTTCAGAATAAAAAGAAGGAAAAGATTATTTTCTGCCCAAAACATGATTACGTGAGCACAAGAAACCCAAGGCAAACAGGAGATGGTGCACATATATTATACTACACCATCACATGAAGGTAGTGTTTCTGTGTAACTTCTAATTGAGGCCAAGCTTTGACAAGCTGAGAAAAAATTGTATAAATAATATAATCAGTAGCAAATTATCTGTAGAGAATTCATATAAATCATTAGATGAAGCTGACAGTTAATAAAAGATGTGACAGATATAAATTGATTAATTAACATATGGATAACAGGAATATCTTTTTGGCCTTTCATTTAATGATTTTTTTTTTTTTTTGAGTTCAAGTCTCACTCTGTCGCCCAGACTGGAGTGCAGTGGCCGCTCCCAGCCACCTCAGCCTCAACCTGCTGGGCTCTGGCGATCCTTCCGCCTCAGCCTTTCAAGTAGCTGGAACCATAGGCGCGTGCTACCGTGCCCGGCTAATTTTTTGATTTGTTGTAGAGATGAGGTCTCGCCAAGTTGCCCAGGTGGGTCGCAAACCCACGGGCTCAAGCAATCCACTCACCTCAGTCTCCCAAGGCACGGAATTACAGGCTGAGCCACCAAGCCCGGGTTGACTTTTTTTTTTTTTTTTGAGTCAGAGTCTCACTGTCGCCAGGCTGGAGTGCAGTGGCACAATCATTGCTCACTGCAACCTTGGCCTCCTGGGTTCAGGAGATTCTTCTGCCTTAGCCTCCAAATTAGCTGGGACTACAGATTCAATTTTTTTGTTTTTTAGAGACAAGGTCTCACTATGTTGCTCAGGCTGGCCTTGAACTCCTAGGCTGAAGCAATCCTCTCGCTGCAGCCTCCCAAAGTGCTAGGTTTCATAGGTTAGGTTTTTTAGAACAGTATTGGCTAAGATATGGTAATGTACACACACTTTATATATTTCTGATAGTACATTTCACAGAAGTCTTTTGGAAAGGAATTTGAAAATACGTATCAATATTCTCAAAAGTATTCATACAGCCTTTGAATCAGAAACTGCAATTCTGGAAACCCATGCTAAAGAAAGTTCTATATATGAAAAATTCTATGCATAAAGAAGTGCAGTGTAGCAATGTTCGTAATAGCATTAAAACAGAAATGTGTCTCCTTAAGGGGAAAGTTTGAGCAAGTTAGAGCATCCCCTTAGCAGAACATACGATAGGCATGAAATAGGTTCAAGTTAAATAAACAGGCATACACAGGAAATTACAAACAACTGAATTTTAAAAACCAAGTGTTTCAGACACAGCTTGTAAGAAAACATAAGTCACTAACATCCTAACACCGGGAACACAGAGAAATGACTGCTCTGTTTCCATTCTTGCCACAGTTTCTACATGTTTCTTCAATGCTTGCATATTTCTGCATAACTTCCAAAATATGATAGTGTTGAGTCAACAACAGATCACGTTTGCTCTTACTTAGGTCCAAAAAAGATCTACAGAGCAGGGCAGCAAGCATGAGGCTAGTCTCTGCTTTGGCTTACCTTGCTTTTTCTGAGTCTGCTTGCCTGCGGAGTCAGGGTTTGCGACAGACTCCTGGCTCTGCCCAAGGGCTTTCTCATCCTTGCTGAAGATGATCTGGGGTAATTGGATCCCGGCTTCTGGTGGAGACTTTATTTTTACCCTACATTCAGATAAGACAGAAGGAAAAGGGTTCAAAGTGGTGCTCCCGGCCATGTACTCAGTGCTGCAGGCTAGGCACTGTGCCCCGCTCACGTAGTCCTTGTGACAGCTTACAAAGCAGATCCTATCACCCACATTTTACAGATACCAAAACAGGCTCAGAAAAGGAAGCTAGGCTAGGAGGGAGCTGGGTGAGGACACAGGCAGCCCCATTCCAAAGCCTGAGTTCTCAGCAACCACATGATTTTGCTGCACAGATGTCTCCTATGTAGCCTTCAAATGCTTTGCAAGCCACAAGGGAACTGAAACAAAGTAAACCTCAGGAAGAGGTTACACTGAAGTCCAGAGGGACAAAGGGGCTGTGGGCACTGTCGGCTGCCTGTCTCTTAGTCATTTCCAACTCTCCGCCTTTTTTTTTTCCTGAGTTGGAGTGCAGTGCCACACTTACTCCACACACTCACGTGCCCAAGCCCACAGGTTCGAGACCAGCCTGGGCAACAAGGTGAGACCTCGTCTCTACAATAAATCAAAAAATTTGCTGGGCATGGTGATGCATGCCTGTAGTTCCAGCTACCTGGGAGGCTAAAGTGGAAAGATCACCCAAGCCCAATAGGTTGAGGGTATAGTGGCCATGAGTATGCTACTGCAATGCAGCCCGGACGAGAGAGTGAGACTCTGACTGAAAAAAAAAAAAGCAATTCTGCTCAGGCTCACTCCTGTAATTCCAGCATTTTGGGAGGCCAAGGTAAGAGAACTGCTTGAGCTCTGAGGTTCAAGACCAGCCTGGGAAACGTGGCAAGATCTTATCTCTACAATAAATTAAAAAATTAGCCAGGTGTGGCAGCATACACCTGTGGCTCCAGTCACTTGGAAGGCTTGGGTGGAAGGATCACCTGAGCTCAGCAGGTCAAGGCTGCGGTGGCCATGAGTGTGCCACTGCACTCCAGCCTGGGCAAGAGAGTGAGACTCTAACTCACAAAAACAAATAAATAAAAATTACACCCAAAGTGACAAAGTAGAAATGTGCAGAACTTGAAAACACAAAGTCAGTCAGGTATGTTGGCTCACACCTGTAATCCCAGGACTTTGGGAGGCCGAGGTGAGAGGACTGCCTGAGTCCAGGAGTTCGAGACCAGCCTGGGTAACCTGGCAAGACCTTGTTTCTATGATAAACAAAAGAAATATTAGGCTGGGCTCGGTGGCTCAGTCTGTAATCCCAGTACTTTGGGAGGCCAAGGCGAGTGGATTGCCTGAGCCCGTGGGTTCAAGACCCGCCCAGGCAACTTGGCGAGATCTCATCTCTACAATAAATAAAAAATTAGCCAGGTGTGGTAGTGCACACCTGTAGTTCCTTCTACTTGGAAGGTTGAGGAGGAAGAATTGCCGGAGCCCAGCGGGTCGAGGCTGCCGTGGCTGGCCATGCCACTGCCCTCCAGTCTGGGCAATGGAGTGGGACTCCGACTCAAAAAAAAAAAAAAGAAAAAGAAAAATTAGCCAGGCATGGTAGTGCATGCCTGTAGTTCTAATTACTTGGAAGGCTAAGGTGGAAGGACTGCCTGAGCCCAGCAGGTAGAGCTGCAGTGGCCACGAGCATGCCACTGCACTCTAACCTGGGTGACAGAGTGAGACTCCAGCTCAAAACAAAACAAAACAAAACACACAAAGTCCCATAATTCACCTAAGTGCCAAGGTTTTTAAAAGAACTGCCAGAAATCCTCACCAAAAGTTTTATGAGACAGATATTATCATTACTAGGTAGACAAGGACACTGAGGCCCAGGGTCATACCTGGTCCTGTTTCTTACTATGTCCCCCTCCAATTGCATTCTCTATCAACAATGGACTCTACCCACTGAATGAATGGTGTTACTTCGTGCCACTCTGCCTTTGCATAGACTGTTCCCTCTACCTGGAATGATATTTCCTGTTTTATTCATCTGGAAAAAGCCAACTCCCTGGAAGGCTGCATGAGCCTGCACTAACCGAAGCCTTCTCTTCCCCTCCACAGTCCATGCTCCTCCCGCCCCTTCTCAACTTGGCTGTGACCATTCGTGCTGCCGTCCTGTGCCCCCACTAGCCTAAGCAAGACTTAACACTCCTCAAGGCCGGGGCCTCCTTGGTCTCTCCCTCACCTTGGTTTTGGTCTCCAGCGCGCAGCAGAGCGTTGATGTGGCAGTCACCCACGGAATGCTAGTGGACTACTAAATTCTCCCCAACTCCACCTAGAACCACACTGAAGGAACACCGGAATTACTTACTCACTTCTGGAGATGTCTAGGATTAGAAGGGTAACAGAGACAGACCGTTTCTTTAAAATACAGTAATTGACATCTTCATCCTGAGAAAGAATCAATTGTACATCATCTTATTTCTTTTTTTTTTTACCATCTTATTCCATCACGCTAGATAAGAGCACAAGCATTCAGGTACAAGGCAAGTGAGTGGCTGCACTCCATTCCCAACAATAACCAACTGTGGGTGCTGAGACGAGCCTGGAAGTCAACGCGGCCACCATCTCCAGCAAGTCGCGCTGCAGAAAGTACGGTATTCCCACCCAATGGCCAGGGCTCAAGCCAAGACAGGTCCTGCATCCAACACTTACCAGGTAGGAAGAAAAGCCATCATTCTTCGTCCGGTCTAGGCTGAACCCAATCTGAGGGAGAATAAGAAGAGTGAGGTAAATGTTCACAAAACTGTCCACAGCTTGCTAGCTTTCTCAAAGAACAGAAAAAGTGATTCTTCTGTCTGGCTTCCTCTCAGTTTTCCCATCATTCATTTTGTAAAAAGGTAATACTCGCTCAATTAAAATCACTCATGACTAGAACTATTCAAGAACTACAACTTAAATGTTAAAAGTGAAACTAAGCCGGGCTCGGTGGCTCAGCCTGTCATCCCGCGCCTTTGGGAGGCTGAGGTGAGTGGATTGCCTGAGCCCACGGGTTCGAGACCCACCTGGGCAGCGAGACCTCATCTCTACAATAAATCAAAAAATCAGCTGGGCGTGGTAGTGTATGCCTGTAATTCCGGCTACTTGGAAGGCTGAGGCGGAAGGATCGCCGGAGCCCGGCAGGTCGAGGCTGCGGTGACCGGGAGCGGCCACTGCACTCCAGTCTGGGCGACAGAGTGAGACTCCAACTCAAAAAAATAAAAAAAAAAAGTGATAATAGTATTGATTGACTCCACCTCTGTTGATGATGGGCATGAAATTTTCTCTCCTCCTTTTAGGCATGAATTCAATTTTTCTAACATTCAGGGTCTTAACAAGCTTTGGCAGTCATCATATAAGTTCTACTAATCTTTGGTTAATTGTGTTCTTTCATTTCTCTTACTGTGTGTTTACACAACAAGATACATCTATTTCTCAGTCTAGTTGTGGTTACTGGCCTTCAGGATAGTACCCATGACCATCATCTCATGGTATCTTTGTCTTTGTATAGTCCCCTCCATCCTGACACAAGACTAGACTGTGCGATAATAGAACAGGACAATGGTGGTGTTGTGTGTCTTCCAAAGCTAAGCCATCAAAGCTATTCCAGCTTCTGCTGTGGCCTCTTGAATTGCTTGCTCTGGGGGATGCCAGCCCCATGCTTTAATGCCATTCAAGCAGCCCCATAAAGGAGTCTGTGGAGAGAAACCCCCTTGCTAACCATGCGACTGAGAGGACTGCAGCCCTGGCTGACATCTGACTGTGACCTCAAAAGAGACCCTGAGCCTGACTCACTCAGACAAGCTACTCCCAAATTCTTGACCCACAGAAGCTGTGAGGGAGAATATGAATCTATCATTGTTCTAAGCCACTAAATGTGAAGACATTTGTAACACAGCAAGAGTCACTAACACATGAGTCCTTGAGCTCCTAGTTTTAATATAGTTAAAGATTGGACAGGAAATATTGAAGTAAGTAGAATGGAAAGGGTTAGCATTTTTAGCTGTACTTAAAAAATAAATGCTTCCAGGAGCTTTTCTGGCCTGAAGATCTTTTCTTAAGCCATGCACAATCACAGGACTTCTTACCACATGCAGAGGGAAATCTTTCTGCCCTTAAAACTCATCAGAAGCCGGGCTCGGTGGCTCAGCCTGTAATCCGCGCCTTTGGGAGGCTGAAGTGAGTGGATTGCCTGAGCC